ATCCACGAGCGCATCCACGACAAGCAGGATGGGTTTGCTACATGGCTCAAGCACTGGGAAAACTGGCGTGCCAAGACGGCCGCCCGTGCACAGGAGTCTCGCCACGCTCTGGCACCCATCGACACGAACGTTCCCCGGCCCCATCGTGTCTCGAAACCGCTGCTCTCCCCCGAAGGTCCCATCCCTCCGCAGTACCAGCGCAGTTCCACCTTCGAAAACTCGTGGCTTAACCCGACCGCCTCTGAATATTCGCCCCCGTCCGCGCCGCACAGTGGCCCCAACACACCGGACTACTTTGCTGTTGGGCCTTGGGCGTACACCAACCCGCCTCCGCCGTACACGCGTACTTGGGTGCCCACTCCACAACAGTACATCCCTACAGCGCCTCCATCACAGCCGCCGTCGTACCATCACACTCCGGCCTACGCTCTGCCTTTCGCGCAAAGTGTGTGGACTGGCCATGGCTCGTCGTGCGGCTGTCTCTATTGCATCAAGCCTGCGGAGCACTACATGTGCGCCAATCCCTTCGGCTCAATGCAACCGATTGTCGCTTAGTGGTGCCACGACTCTCACCCGTGAACGTGCTGGGGAAAAAAGTAATTTGTTTCCTAATTCGACTATCTTCGACCTCGTCTTTCCACTAGACCATCTTATTCGCATCGTCCAAAATTTCCGCTAATGATACCGTGTTCTATTCGTGTTCCTTGCATGACTACCCGTTTTCCTCGAGTCGGTTTCGATTGTGTTATCCGCTGAAAAGTACCCGCCGTCAATCTTCCTGGCTTTGCCTCAAAAGCAAAAATCGAAAAAAAGTGTCCAGCTCGGGCGTCGATGATCGCATCCATCCTCATCTCTGCCCGTCGCCTCTTGTGATATGGGACTCTTCCTTTTGTTTCACTCGACAATCCTCTTTCCTCCCAAACGGCCTCGTTCTGAATGAAAACATTCACTGGGCTGATTTTATTCCACCTTACTGCTCCAGGGGTCCTCTTGGATGGAAATCCCCGGAGTCAGGAATCACGACAATCATGAATGTTTATTTTCCGCCTTTGCACGAGTTTTGTGCCTCGTTTCTGCCTTCGCGTCTCCTTGATCTTTCACCTATCTTCTTCGGATTTGGGCATTTTATCTGGCAATGTTCCTCATAGATTGTTTTTTTCCCCTTCTTATTTGACCCTGGCTGAGTTAGAATACTGGCACTTTCCTTTTTGTCCGTTTTCTGCTTGACTCCCGGGGATGTTAATACCTTTGTCTTCGTTCGGTTCGATTCTTCGATTTTTCTTGCATTGTTCTGCTCTGGTCGAACAGATTCTACGAGTCATTTGTTCTTTCCACGACCGGAGTCAGGCACTTCAAGCCATTGTGGCGCGTTTTCGGCTGCGAGGTTTGACTGCTCTTGGTTGTACATTATACCATGTTTATCTTTTCTTCTTCTATTACCTTTTCACCCTGAATGTCCATCATCACACTTCATCTCGCATTGAGGGAAATTGAGAAAAAAAAGTGATACTCTCCCCCTTACGCCCTGTTTATCCTCTTCATTTTTTTTTCTTGCCTACGGTGATCCCGCCGGCTTTATGTGTCTTTCTCACCTTTCATTTTGTCGTTGACTGTAAGTTAGATTAACTGCTTTCATACCAACCATATGAAATCTGGGAAATGGAAAACATACCTTGAATTTCCGGATTTACAAAAAAAAACCTGGAAATATCATGACAAGAATCTCTTTCTCTCTCCACCGTAAATGTTCTAGTAGTTAGTTACGTGGTAATTTTCAGCGTCCTCTGACATACTCGGTCATCCAAGGGACATGCCTGACACGTGACGTTTCTTGAGACAAAGCGTTATTGATTAGGTAATCAAACCCTCTGGACGCGCCGCTGTATGCTGGTTATAGTCATCGGTTCTGATGAAGGCATGGATACGAAGCCTAGACCTAGAAGAAAAAGAGAGAATAAGGCGGCTTACAGCTCGACTCGCCCTTCTTTTGCTCTTCAAGTGTAACTAACCGCAGCACCCGGGCGAACGAAACGTGATCTATTTGAACATTTTCAAGGACATGAAATGGGTGGCAGGAAGAGGTGGTTGATTGTTATAGTCTATTTGATCTTGGTAGGGGGGGGGGTTGTTCATTTGTGCACATATGTCTATTGTTCATTCATCATCGAAAATTTGGACTCGTTCGGCGTATTCACGGATGTTGGAGACGTAGGTCTCTTCGATGTGATCGCCTTGGCCGGCGGCCACGCGGAGGATGAGGTCGTTGAGGGAGGCGCGGCCGAGGATGTCGACGTGGTCTCCTGGTTTTCTATGGTGTTAGATGGGTTGAGTGATTTGTTTGAGGGAGGGACATGGATGGGTTGGTGATGTGCGGAGGTGCCCGTGGGGCGGGGGGCGGGTCTCAAATGGGGCGTGAGTGTGTCAGGGTTTCCAGATGAGGAACAGGAAAGGGAGGAACGAACCCGTGTTAGGCCCACCTCTGGGCGAGAAGCGGTCCGGCTCATGGGGCATCTCAAAGACCTTGATCTTCACCCCGGCGGGGTTATACCGCTTGATGTGCCAGCCCTTGGCGCACATGTAGCCGGTGCTCAGCAGGTTGACGGTACCGTCGCCTTCGCCCATGTGGACGCCGTGGTCGACGCCGTCGTTGTTGGTGACGGTGGTGTCGATGCTGACGTTAAGGTTGACGAGGGGGTCGCGCTCCTCCTGGTAGAAGTAGCTCCGCTCGGTGGGCTTGCCCACCCCGTAGAAGCAGTAGATCTTCATGTCCGGGGCGAGCGGGAGGCGGGCCTCGAGCGGGTTCAGCCATGTGCGCGGGTTGTGCTCGTTGGCCTCAACCTCGCGCGCGGTGTGGGCGACGCCGTGTGAGTAGCTGGCTAGCACCTGGTGGCGGTACCAGTCCTCGCCCTCATCGAGGAGGTAGTTCAGGCTCTCGGTGATGGTCATGTTTTTGATGATGCGGCTGGTGCCGCTCTCGCGGAAGTTGAGCAGGTTGCCGTAGGTGAGGTTCTGGTGCGGCTGGTCGTCGGGCGCCCACGTCGCGTTGCCCCAGACGGCCTCGCCGCCCTTGGGCAGCATGCTGGAGATGCCGGGCATGGCGCGGAAGATCTCGGCGCGCTCCTCCTTGGACAGGAACTTCTCCAGCCCGTAGACGGCGAAGGCGTTCAGCTGGGCGGTGTCGCGCATCTCGCCGGACAGGACGGCCGTGAGGCCCTTGACAGCCCCGAGCATGCAGCCACTGATGTTGATCCAGTTGGCGACGTGCCGGTTGACCCAGTCCGAGCCGCCCTTGCCGTGCTCGGGGTTCTCGACCCATTTGAAGAAGTAGAGCACGACCTGGGAGCCCATACTGTGGGAGGCGAGGGTAACCTTCTCGCCCTGGACCTGCACGGCCGTCTCGATGTACGACTTCAGGCGGCTGAAGTACTGGTCCCGGACCTCCATGTTCGGGTACGAGAGCCGCCAGTCGTAGGCCGCCGTAAACGCATTGGTGGGGTCGTAGCCGATGGTCGCCAGGTTCTCGAGGATCTTGTTCCAGATCCAGTAGCCCGTGATGAAGAAGTCGGTCGCGTCGAAACCCTGCGCCGCGCGCAATTTGATCCCCGGGGGGTCGAGCCCGGTGTCCTTGTCCAGCATAATATGGTTCTTCCACCCCTGTTTGTCGAGCACCAGCGCCCGCATCATGCTCCAACTGCCCCAGAGTCTCTTGCGGAAGTACTGCCGGGATGCGGGTTCGGTGCCCCAACTCTCCAAACCGGTGGAGATCACCCCGGGGATCATGACCATCGGGTGTTTCGCCTGGAAACCTTGCGCCTGCAGGTGTAGTCCGACGGAGAAAGGATCGTAGTTGACTGTGTCGCGCTCATGTTGCTATATAGATAGTCCCATCTCGGTCAGCAATCATCTTATTGAGGTTCACTGCATGCACGAAGCATGGTTGCATTATCTGCCCGCCCACATTATCTCCGACGGGCGCCGACAAAAAAGATAACGTACGGTGAATTCTCTCGCATCGTTCAAGAACCCATGCGGCATCACCTCCATCAGGGACTCGATGTTGAAGTCCATTAAACTGTCTAAACTGATGACATCCTGTTGGTTGGCGAAGAGCACGGCGACCAGAACTCCGAAAAGGCCGCCCAGTGCGAAGATCAATCCATTGCGACGTTTACTGCGCGGCTTGTGGATGAAGGACTCGGATCGTTTGGAATGGGAGGGACGGGCAGCTGCAGGCGAGTCGGTATCGGACTTGGACTTGAACTGGGACTTGGACTGGGAATTGTCGCGGGAGGAGGAATCGGAGGAGGGCTGCACCTCGTGGTTGTGGTTAAGGTTGTGGTTGGGCTCCTCCTCCTCTTCCTTGCCCACGCGACGCCGGAGCATCACCGCCGGATTACAAGGTCAGAAAAAGCTCCGTGCAACAACTCAGAAATCTCCGAGGAGCAATGGCATAGATAAAATGGCAACTAGGTAGCCGGATTGAAGCCCAAGACAACCCAACACAAAGACAAAGATTTAGCGGGATAGGAAAGAAGAAAATAAGGAGGGGGAAGAAAAGCCGCGGATGGAAAAGGGTTGAAAATCACATGTTGGGGAAGGAGAGAGAAAAGAGAGCAAAGAAAGAGAACGGAGCGGGAATCGGACGTCATCCCGAACTTCTTCAATTCTTCTTCTTCTTTTCTTCCTTTTCTCTTTCTCTCTCTTCTCGATTCTCTCCATCTCCGATTGAAGGTGTAACTTGTGTCTGTCTGTCTACTACACATCCACCCAACCAGCACATACTTGACCATTCCACGTCTCTGTTCCTGGATCAATTCGCATTGCTACCCTCCAATGCCAATTCCTCCACCGCTCCAATGAACCCGAATCCACCCCCCGCATTGCCTTCAACCGCCACAGCAGCAGCAGCACCAACAACAACAACAACAACACCAACACCATCAAAAACCACCACCACCTCCACCACAACTCCCACAACCCCCACCACCGCCGCAACAACAACTAATACCCACACCCTCCTCCGCTACGTCCGCTACGATGGCGCCCGCGAAGACGAATACGTCCCGGCCATGCGCCAATTAATCTCCAAAGACCTCTCGGAGCCCTACAGCATCTACGTCTACCGCTACTTCCTCTACCAATGGGGAGACCTATGCTTCATGGCCATGGACGACTCCGCCTCTTCATCCGCCTCCCCCGCATCCGAAACAACAGCATCCTCATCCCCGCAGCAGCAGCAGCAGCAGCCGCGCATGGTCGGCGTTGTTGTCTCGAAACTCGAACCCCACCGCGGCGGACCTCTACGCGGCTACATCGCCATGCTAGCCGTGAAGGAGGAGTACCGAGGCCGGGGCATCGCGACCAAGCTAGCTCGGATGGCGATCGATGCGATGATTGAGCGGGATGCGGACGAGGTGTGTCCCTTTCTTCCCATCTCAACCTTGCCTTCC